ACAGACACACAGACTTATCTACCCCACAGACACACAGACTCATCTACCCCACAGACACACAGACTTATCTACCCCACAGACACACAGACTCATCTACCCCACAGACACAGAGACTCATCTACCCCACAGACACAGAGACTCATCTACCCCACAGACACACAGACTCACCTACCCCACAGACACACAGACTTACCTACCCCACAGACACAGAGACTCATCTACCCCACAGACACAGAGACTCATCTACCCCACAGACACAGAGACTCATCTACCCCACAGACACACAGACTCACCTACCCCACAGACACAGAGACTCATCTACCCCACAGACACACAGACTCATCTACCCCACAGACACACAGACTCACCTACCCCACAGACACAGAGACTCATCTACCCCACAGACACACAGACTCACCTACCCCACAAACACACAGACTCATCTACCCCACAGACACACAGACTTATCTACCCCACAGACACACAGACTTATCTACCCCACAGACACACAGACTTATCTACCCCACAGACACACAGACTCATCTACCCCACAGACACACAGACTCATCTACCCCACAGACACACAGAGGCTCATCTACCCCACAGACACACAGACCGATCTACCCCACAGACACACAGACCCATCTACCCCACAGACACACAGACACTCATCTACCCCACAGACACACAGACTCATCTACCCCACAGACACACAGACTCACCTGTAGCTACTCCACACGGACTAACACGTGTGACTTGGTAACGTCACCGCTGCTCTCGCTCACTCAGCCGGATCACTCAGCCGGATCACTCAGCCGGATCACTCAGCCGGCCGCCGGGAGAGAGCGAGGAGGAGGGAGGAGGAGTGAGCTGGGATACGAGGGAGTGCTGAGAGCGAAGAGAGAGAGAGCTGAGCGAGGGAGGGAGAAGAAAGGAGGGGCGAGGGAGGGAGACCACCCCTTGCCACACGCCCAGATTGGCTGTCATCTACAAATACACCCCGAACCCAAGGGGAGGTGGGGAAGTAGGGGCGACACGTCCAGGGCTAGAGTTGGGGGCTAGAGTTGGGGGTTAAAGTTGGGGGTTAGAGTTAGGGCTAGAGTTAACACGAGGGTTAGAGTTGGGGGTTAGAGTTGGGGGTTAGAATTGGGGGTTAGAGTTGGGGGTTAGAGTTGGGGCTATAGTTAGAATATGTGGGTCTCTGTGTAAGCCTGTGGTTCTATGTATAAGCCTGTGGGTTTCTGTGTGAGTCTACGGGTCTCTATATTAGTCTACGGGTTTCTGTGTGAGTCTACGGGTCTCTATGCGAGTCTACGGCTCTCTGCGCGAGTCTATGGGCCTCAGTGCGAGTCTATGAGAAGCCCCGGTGTAACCGCCATGGTCTGTGCGGCTGAAAACCCGGATTTGAACCTGGGCTTTCCGAGCGGGTGGGTTACCGGCACCGCGTCTCCGGCACGGCCGATGTGAACCCTCTTGACACCGGGGTGTGTGCTTGACCTCTGAGCCAGCTGGCGTCCACGGGACCATGTGGTTGCTCCTGTTTATCTTTAATGATAAACCAATAGGGGGGAGGAGGGGGAGGGGGTGAGGAAAGAACTCCCCTCAACCGGTTTATTCGAGTGTCTGTGGGTCTCTGAGCGAATCTGTGGGTCTCTGTGCGAGTCCGTGGGTCTCTGTGCGAGTCCGTGGGTCTCTGTGCGAGTCCGTGGGTCTCTGTGCGAGTCCGTGGGTCTCTGTGCGAGTCCGTGGGTCTCTGTGCGAGTCCGTGGGTCTCCGTGCGAGTCCGTGGGTCTCCGTGCGAGTCCGTGGGTCTCCGTGCGAGTCCGTGGGTCTCCGTGCGAGTCCGTGGGTCTCCGTGCGAGTCCGTGGGTCTCCGTGCGAGTCCGTGGGTCTCTGTGCGAGTCCGTGGGTCTCTGTGCGAGTCCGTGGGTCTCTGTGCGAGTCCGTGGGTCTCTGTGCGAGTCCGTGGGTCTCTGTGCGAGTCCGTGGGTCTCTGTGCGAGTCCGTGGATCTCTGTGCGAGTCCGTGGGTCTCTGTGCGAGTCCGTGGGTCTCTGTGCGAGTCCGTGGCTCTCTGTGCGAGTCCGTGGCTCTCTGTGCGAGTCCGTGGGTCTCTGTGCGAGTCTGTGGGTCTCTGTGCGAGTCTGTGGGTCTCTGTGCGAGTCTGTGGGTCTCTGTGCGAGTCTGTGGGTCTCTGTGCGAGTCTGTGGGTCTCTGTGCGAGTCTGTGGGTCTCTGTGCGAGTCTGTGGGTCTCTGTGCGAGTCTGTGGGTCTCTGTGTGAGTCTGTGGGTCTCTGCACGAGTCTGTGGGTCTCAGTGTAAGTCTGTGGGTCTCTGTGCGAGTCTGTGGGTCTCTGTGCGAGTCTGTGGGTCTCTGTGCGAGTCTGTGGGTCTCTGTGCGAGTCTGTGGGTCTCTGTGCGAGTCTGTGGGTCTCTGTGCGAGTCTGTGGGTCTCTGTGCGAGTCTGTGGGTCTCTGTGTGAGTCTGTGGGTCTCTGCACGAGTCTGTGGGTCTCAGTGTAAGTCTGTGGGTCTCTGTGGAGTCTGTGAATCAATGCGCGCCTACAGCTCTTCGTGCGAGCCTACGGGTCTCCGTGCGAGTCTACGGGTCTGTGTGAGTCTACGGGTCTCCGTGCGAGTCTGCGGGTCTCCGTGCGAGTCTACGGGTCTCTGTGCGAATCTACGGGTCTCCGTGCGAGTCTGTTGGTCTACATATGAATAAGTGGGTCTCTGAGTCTATGGCCCTCCATGTGAGTCTATGAGAAGCCCCAGTCTAACGGCTGTGCCTGTGCGGATACGAACCCGGGCTTTCTGAGCGGGTGGGTTGCCGGCTCCGCGTCTCCGGCACGACCATTGTGAACCCTCTCGACACCCAGGTGTGTGCTTGACCTCGGAGCCACGGGACCATGTGGTTGCTCCTGTTTATCTTTAATGATAAACCAGTGGGGGAGGGGAGGGAGGGGAGGAAATGAACTCCCCTCAACCGGCTCATGCTAGAGTCTGTGGGTCTCTGAGCGAGTCGTCTGTGGGTCTCTGTGCGAGTCTGTGGGTCTCTGTGCGAGTCTGTGGGTCTCTGTGCGAGTCTGTGGGTCTCTGTGCGAGTCTGTGGGTCTCTGTGCGAGTCTGAGGGTCTCTGTGCGAGTCTGTGGGTCTCTGTGCGAGTCTGTGGGTCTCTGTGCGAGTCTGTGGGTCTCTGTGCGAGTCTTTGGGTCTCTGTGCGAGTTTGTGGGTCTCTGTGCGAGTCTTTGGGTCTCTGTGCGAGTCTGTGGGTCTCTGTGCGAGTCTGTAGATCTCTGTGCGAGTATGTGGGTCTCTGTGCGAGTCTGTGGGTCTCTGTGTGAGTCTGTGGGTCTCTGTGCGAGTCTTTGGGTCTCTGTGCGAGTCTGTGGGTCTCTGTGCGAGTCTGTAGGTCTCTGTGCGAGTCTGTGGGTCTCTGTGAGAGTCTTTGGGTCTCTGTGAGAGTCTGTGGGTCTCTGTGCGAGTCTATGGGTCTCTGTGTGAGTCTGTGGGTTCTGTGCGAGTCTGCGGGTCTCTGTGCGAGTATGTGGGTCTCTGTGCGAGTCTGTGGGTCTCTGTGCGAGTCTGTGGGTCTCTGTGCGAGTCGTCTGTGGGTCTCTGTGCGAGTCGTCTGTGGGTCTCTGTGCGAGTCGTCTGTGGGTCTCTGTGCGAGTCGTCTGTGGGTCTCTGTGCGAGTCTGTGGGTCTCTGTGCGAGTCGTCTGTGGGTCTCTGTGCGAGTCGTCTGTGGGTCTCTGAGCGAGTCGTCTGTGGGTCTCTGTGCGAGTCTGTGGGTCTGTGCCTGTCTGTGGGTCTCTGTGTGAGTAGTCTGTGGGTCTCTGTGCGAGTAGTCTGTGGGTCTCTGTGCGAGTAGTCTGTGGGTCTCTGTGCGAGTAGTCTGTGGGTCTCTGTGCGAGTAGTCTGTGGGTCTCTGTGCGAGTAGTCTGTGGGTCTCTGAGCGAGTAGTCTGTGGGTCTCTGAGCGAGTAGTCTGTGGGTCTCTGAGCGAGTAGTCTGTGGGTCTCTGAGCGAGTAGTCTGTGGGTCTCTGAGCGAGTAGTCTGTGGGTCTCTGTGCGATTTTGTGGGTCTCTGTGCGAGTCGTCTGTGGGTCTCTGTGCGAGTCTGTGGGTCTCTGAGCGAGTCTGTGGGTCTCTGTGTGAGTCTGTGGGTCTCTGTGCGAGTCGTCTGTGGGTCTCTGTGTGAGTCTGTGGGTCTCTGTGCGATGTTGTGGGTCTCTGTGCGAGTCTGTGGGTCTCTGTGCGAGTAGTCTGTGGGTCTCTGTGCGAGTAGTCTGTGGGTCTCTGTGCGAGTAGTCTGTGGGTCTCTGTGCAAGTAGTCTGTGGGTCTCTGTGCGAGTAGTCTGTGGGTCTCTGTGCGAGTAGTCTGTGGGTCTCCGTGCGAGTAGTCTGTGGGTCTCCGTGCGAGTGGTCTGTGGGTCTCCGTGCGAGTAGTCTGTGGGTCTCCGTGCGAGTCTGTGGGTCTCTGTGCGAGTAGTCTGTGGGTCTCTGTGCGAGTAGTCTGTGGGTCTCTGTGCGAGTAGTCTGTGGGTCTCTGTGCGAGTAGTCTGTGGGTCTCCGTGCGAGTGGTCTGTGGGTCTCTGTGCGAGTAGTCTGTGGGTCTCTGTGCGAGTCTGTGGGTCTCTGTGCGAGTAGTCTGTGGGTCTCTGTGCGAGTAGTCTGTGGGTCTCTGTGCGAGTAGTCTGTGGGTCTCTGTGCGAGTAGTCTGTGGGTCTCTGTGCGAGTGGTCTGTGGGTCTCTGTGCGAGTAGTCTGTGGGTCTCTGTGCGAGTAGTCTGTGGGTCTCTGTGCGAGTAGTCTGTGGGTCTCTGTGAGTAGTCTATGGGTCTCTGTGAGTAGTCTATGGGTCTCTGTGCGAGTCGTCTGTGGGTCTCTGTGAGTAGTCTATGGGTTTCTGTGCGAGTCGTCTGTGGGTCTCTGTGCGAGTCTACTCTCAGTGTGTCTTAAGAATAAAAATTTGTGGAAGTTCTGTGAGTGTCCGTGGAGTATTG